TCAAATATTTTGCTGAATTACAAATATTCCATCTCTTTCTACTCTCATCTCAAATGCATTTGTCGAAAGATCATTGGAAAGTATTTGCAAATTCATAGTTTAGTTTTCTCCGACCTCTATAAAATTTTTATAAATATAAATCTATCCTCAAGTTTAAGAATTTCTTGATTTGTACTCCCGATTCTCTCCTTAGCCTCGATTATTACATTATACAAATCGGTAAAACTTCTCTGAAGTTTTTGGTTACGATTCTGAGTTATCCTCATCAGAACCTGGTGAAGTACTCAACTCCTCGATAAGCTTTTTCAACATAGGTGATTCATACAATGTGACTTTTGATCCTTTCTTAACTTTCGTTTTTTTTTCTGCTGGAGGCATTCTTCACACTTAGCCATTTGTGGGATTTATTCAGGGTTGTAGAAGTCACAACCTCATCTTGTGAATTATTTGCACCTTCCTCCGCACTATCATCATCAACGGTTTTGCATTGGAAAGGTAATAATGAATCACTAACATCGGCCATGCCACATGAACCAATATCACCACAAGCATTTAGAACAAGCGATCTAGGTGGGCTTCTGTTAAAATGGGATTATCACATTTTCCATATGGCCCATAATCTGAAATAGTATTGTTGGATTTAATCGATGAAAAATCTGGCTCCTCGCGAAGATTGTCCTCTGGGAGATACTTTAATATATTTAACGCAAGTATGTTTAGGGCTCTGTTGCGAGCTGGTTGCATATTATAAATATCACTGCTTTTGAGTAGAGGTGATTATGATACCCTCCATATTGATATTCTCAGCAGTGATCGGGTTTTCTTCATCAGGAGACTTCCTTTAGCCGAGCTCTCTTGGTTTTCCATGGTAACATTTTCTAAAAAAAAAAAAGCCATGTAATTTCTCGCTTGTTTTTATAGTGCCAGATCTTTCAGGGGAATCTCACCAATTTTATTACGTATAAAATTAGGACTTGCTAAAAGTTCGCTTGACCATACTGTTAAAATATAAGGAAGATTTCCCGCCTTTTCTTCCTATATAAATATTTTTTCACTTGTCAAAACTAAAACAAAATTAATATATAACCTGAAATGCTCCCTAAGGTTTATCTCGAAATCTTGAAATGATGATCATAAATGAAATTAGGATCATCAATGAAAAGATAAGTATTATATTGATTAGTATTTCTTAACTTTAACATGATACAGATAAAAAACCAATCAAATGTTTTTACCTTTTTTATATGTTGTAGTAGTTCAAGAATCAAATTAAAAGTTCTTTTGGATTATGATCATCCTAATGATAAAATAGAATCATCAATCCGGTTATGATAAACCAGCATATAAGAAAATTTGAGAAAAAAATAAGCTACATCCATGATTCTGGAGGTATGTCTTGATTTGGGAATAGATTCTTTCACTCCTACCCCATATGTTCCACTATCCTGTGATGATCAAGAGGAATTCATCTATCATCACATATCAAAAAACTATCCTGAAAAGAATTATTTTTTTACAATACAAGGTAATAGTTAGTTGGATAAATCTTCCTCCAGTCTCAAACTTACAATACAATAAGAATATAATACTTACCTTCCTTTCCTTAGGCCTTGTTTTAGCATTTCGAGAAGAAGATTATTCTAGGAAAAATTTGTCTATTTCAGGATCATCTATCAGAATAAAAAAATATATGCAAATCTTATCTCGTACAGCCTCTATTCTTCGGCAAGAATTTTTCAGGCAGTGATTGATCTTATATGACAGAGCTACTCTACTGCACATATTATATTATTCACTATGAACCAATGACGTTTTATAGCGCATGATGTATAAATCACTTATGATTCGTAAAAAAAGAAATAAAATAATAAACCTTCAGTGTTATGCAAGAATACGAATCTACCTGAGCCAAAGGTATTTTACATAATTCTCCTAGCCAGATACTGGAAATATAATAGGACTCATCATTAGTGAGGTTTTCCTTTCACATTTTTCATCATGATAATAATAACCTCCATCATATCTACCGTATTTATTATCATACCCATCATTATCATCCGATCCATATGGTATCTCTTCTTCAGAATCATTGTTATGACTACAGTCACTATCATCATCCATTAGCTTTGCTAACACCTTTGGTATTTCTTCATTTGTTCCTTTTACTTCCTCATTTTCAGAATAAAAATACATATCGTTATCATTGTCTGAGTGATTATTTCAGATTTTTTAGAATCCTTCTCATTCGAATCATTCGCTGTAATATCAGACGTGTTACTAAAATTATCATCTGAGCCATGAATTGAAGTAGTAGTCACTGTCTCAGAAATTTCATTCACAGGACTAGTGGTTGTTTTCAATTTAACTTGTTTTATGATGTATTCAATTTGAGGATTAGTGAGCCTTAAAATTTTATCAGCGCTACAGGTGACCTATTTAACTATATACCCCAGTTATACATGAAGTCGAAATGAATCATTTCGGATATTCGAAATGGTCGAAATAGTCGAAATCATTTCTTTTTTTTTT